GGAGCGGAAGAAAACGCACAGCAACAGCAGCAACAACAGCAGCAGAAGCAGGAGCAGCAGCAGGAGCAGCAGCAGGAGCAGCGGTGGGTGTCAGGTTTCTGCGACAAAGACAGCTTCAAGGAAGTCTTAGGGCCGTGGGGTTCAGGCGTAGTTGTGGGGCGGGCTCGCCTGGGGGGCCAGCCAATTGGCGTGATTGCTGTAGATACCCGAACCACAACCGCCGTCTCACCAGCAGACCCAGCAAACCCTGACAGCGCACGAGTCGAGACACCGCAGGTCAGTTACACATACACCCGAACACTGGTCCTATAGTACTGCTGCTACAGCACTGATGCTGCAGCACTGGTGTTGCTCTCTAACTGCAGCACTGCTGCTGTATCCGTGCTGCTTGGTTGTGTGCTGCATGGGTGTGTAGGCTGGCCAGGTGTGGTTCCCTTCGAGTGCATACAAGACGGCTCAGGCGATCGCGGATTTCAACCGTGGAGAGAATTTGCCTTTAATTATATTTGCAAATTGGCGTGGATTCTCCGGGGGTACCCGCGATATGTTTAATGAGGTGTTGAAATTCGGCTCCATGATCGTAGATGCACTTCGGGTATACAGGCACCCTGTATTCGTTTATATCCCGCCCTATGGAGAGCTGCGCGGAGGCTCTTGGGTGGTTATTGACCCCACCATCAACTCGTCACAGATGGAGCTGTATGCTGATGAACTCGCCAGAGGAGGAGTCCTAGAGCCACCAGGCATATGTGAAATTAAATTCAAGGAAGCTGAAAGAAGAAAACTGATGCACCAGAACGATCATACACTACAGCAGTGGCAACGAGAACTCGAAGCAGCCACCGTAAGCTACAGCAGCAGCAGCAACATCACCAGCAACAGCAATAGCAACAGCAGCAGCAGAAACACAACGGCAACTGGCCTGCAGGCACCAACACTATCTGCTGCTTTTCAACAATTTAGGGGGACTCGGGCGCATTCACCTCTACTCTTTTGTGTTGTGTGGTATTTTGTTGTGTTGTATTTTATTGTGTTGTATTTTTAATGCGTTGCATTTCATTGTGCTATGTTGTATTCTTTTGTGTTGTGTATTATGTATTGTGTTGTATTGTTCCGGTTTGTTGAGTGCTGTTTGTGTTTTGTTGTCGTTTATTATGTTGTATTTTTATGTATTGTGTTGTATTTTATCTGCATTTTATTGCTTTGCGTTGTGTTGAAATGCAGACACCTGAAGAGGCGGAGGAGATAAAGGAGAAGATAAAGAAGAGAGAGAACCTCCTTATGCCGGTGTACACGCAGGTATGTAGTATGGATATGTGTGTATATCTCTCATCCTATAACATGCATGCATGCTATCCTTGATTAATCCTTTTAAAAAACAGAGTAAAAAGAGGAAGCAAACGAATAGAAAGAACAAATACAAAAGGGACAAGATCTGGTGTACTACTGCCGGCTGCGTTCTTTGTACAGGTAGCGCACGTGTATGCAGACCTCCATGATCGCGCGCCCCGCATGGCAGCTCGTGGTGGGGTAAGAAGAATTCTAAGTTGGCCCAAGGCCAGGGAATTCTTCTACTGGAGAGTGCGGAGGCGACTCGCTGCAAACAGCGTTGTGTGAGCAGTCCATGCAACTCCTCTTGCTGCTCTTCTTGCTTCTGATGATGCTATTCCTCCTGTTGCTGCTGCTGCTGCTGCATCCTTGCATGCTTGCATGCAGAAAACAGCGTGGAGCGTGGGGAGCTTATCCCGTGCTGCATATTTTGGTTTGGTTTCGCGGCATTGCGACAGTGTTTCTGCTCGCGTCATGCTGCTGTTGTGTCTTTATCTTTCTAAATCGGTATAGCGTGTCTGCTGC